TAGTAGTAGTAGTAGTAGTAGAGAGTAGAGTAGAGAGAGAGAGAGAGAGAGAGAGAGAGGGAGAGAGAGAATCCCATCCCAGAATAGCCAATAGCCTGGTAGATATGGGAGAGCCAAGTTCAAGTATTTGATTCAGAGCAGGGGTTTAAACCTAGGTTTCCCTCATCCCAGGTGAGTGCCCTAACCACTAGGTTATTGGGGCCAGGATTGCCTTTGCTCTCTGAACATTTTTGAAATGTTGAAAATTTTCATAGGACAGGAAAATCATCTCCCACCCAGCTCTAATTATGAGGAATATTTATTTGTTGGTGGCAACTGGGCTGGGAGGTAGGAATTTATTGTTGGGTGTCCCTGTGGGAGGGAAGCCACTCAAAGAGATCACAGCTACAGACCAAGGCAAACATTTATAATGTATAGAACGTATGATAAAACAAGCCACAGAAACCATTTCAGAGGAGAGGAGGAGAAATAAATGCCCTGCAGTGGCTGAGAAGCTGATAAACATTTGCAGACAAGGATTGGATAGTTCAGGGACCAGGGAGAAGATTTTCCTGGCTCCTCCCCATCTTTACAAATAAATCACTGGTGGAAGGTAAAGAGAAGAGTTTGGCAGATTAGAACTCCTGTGCTAATTTTAGATTACACTAATCCCAAGAATTTCCAGACATAAAAAGTGTAATATCCCAGGAATGATTCCCCCCCGCAACCTCTCGTATCATCAGGTACATGGCATGTTTGTGGAAAGGGGTAAAGATGCCAAAAGGCTTTAAAAGGAAGCATCCCTGTTTACAAAGAACTTTGTGTTCTGATTATTTTCTCCGTCTCCCTCCGCAGAGGAATCTAACTGATTGCTCTGGTTTGGGGGCAGCATGGCAGGGCACACTTGCTCTTCATAGAATCATAGAATATCAGGGTTGGAAGGGACCTCAGGAGGTCATCTAGTCCAACCCCCTGCTCAAAGCAGGACCAATCCCCAAATAAATCATCCCAGCCAGGGCTTTGTCAAGCCTGACCTTAAAAACCTCTAAGGAAACAGATTCCACCACCTCCCTAGGTAACCCATTCGAGTGCTTCACTACCCTCCTAGTGAAAAAGTTTTTCCTAATATCCAACCTAAACCTCCACCACTGCCACTTGAGCCATTACTACTTGTTCTGTCATTGCCGCCTTACTCTGTCTTGACTCTGCTTAAGTCCACAAACAGCTCAAAGACATTTTTACTGGTAAAACACCCCATGCAATTTACAATATTTATAATTTACAATATTGCTTTCCACCATCCTTATACTCTGTACAGCCTTACTTACACCTACTGTCCTAGGGAGTCTTCAGCTCCTGAGGTAAGCAGGGAAGAATAATCAATCAATCAATCAATCAATCCAATCAATCAATCTCTCTCTCTCTCTCTGCTTCCTTCCATCCCAGTTCCTTCCTGTGCCTTTTGTACCATTTGCCTAACGGCCTAATTAGCCTCTTAGTTCTCTCCAGCCCGTCAGTTAGGCACAACTCTTCTTAATGAGGTCTTCTCTGGGGTAATTAGATCCGCAGTGACCAGAGTGCTGGCTTAGGTGCTGTTGCCCAGCACTCTGTCATAGGCAGCTATGCAATCATCCTTAACATTTAAGTACACCTCTACCCCGATATAACGCGACCCGATACAACACAAATTCAGATATAATGCAGTAAAGCAGTGCTCCGGAGGGGCGGGGCTGCACAGTCTGGCGGTTCAAATCAAGTTCGATATAACGCGGTTTCACCTATAATGCGGTAAGATTTTTTTGGCTCCTGAGGACAGCGTTATATCGGGGTAGAGGTGTAATTTTGGGAGATGTTCTGACAGGGGTACTAGAACAAATTTTATAGTGGTGTGCTGATGATGGAAACCAGGTGTTTGGTGTTTGTTATTACTACTTCAAGCCAGGACTACTAGATTCTGCCATGTTTCAGACAAGAAAAACAAGGGCTTATTGGGAAAAATGTCAAAATACCTATATATGTTTCCAAGTACAACTTTGATATTGAAAATGTCGTCTGTAACCCAGCCACCAGAAATATACAGAACGTACCATGTTTCATTTCAATAATGGGTAGATCAAAAAGCTGCTGGACTAAATTCAGGTGGATCTTGCCATCACAAAGGAGAACAGTTCTTGTTTCTTCAGCAACAGCTCCATTTGAGAAATACTTCTGCGGACACATACAGGTAAAAGAAAAGGTCATGTTAGAATACTAGCCACTTTTTACTTCAAGAATCAGGCCCTACAGCTCCTTTATCATTTTGGGTTTTCATCTTCTCTTTACTCCCAACAATGTATCTATATATTTATGGGAATAAGGCACCCATATTTAATTGCAATATTACAGGTTCTGTCTCACCAGACCCAAGAAGAGAGGGACTCATTTGGCTCCTGGCTCCTTAGAGTCATGTCTGCAGGTTGTAGCCCTTTATTTTATTTAAAGTGAATTTTATAAAATGGTATTAAATCACCATGGATTCAGCTTTGGCAGCTACAGTTTTCAAGCTTAACAGAGTGAAAGTCACCTCTGCTGCTTGCTTCAGAGTTAGAGTCTCTAGGAACACATAAAGACCAAGAGTAGTGACCACACATACCTTCACTAGTACAAAGTCTAGTCTGTTTTAAAAGTTTTAAGTTATGATTACCCAAGCATATAGAAATTCTATAGAGACCTATGCACAAGTTACAAATATAGTTATACTCACATTCTTAACAACAGTGTTAGGGTCTGATGGGTCTCTCATGGCTTGATCATCAGTAGAGGGATGGTTCCTGCTGGAATCTCCCAGAGGGAGCTCAGTTTTCCCATTCTGGGCATCCTCTATTTATAATGTGATTCTGTCTACACCTACATTCTGCGTGTGTCAATAACAGTGTCCACCCTCTTTTCTCTTATTGGTCAGTGTCCCCTAGAAACTTAAGGGACCCCAATTTTCTATAGGCTGTGTAAGTTCCCTTTGTTCTCATTAGCATTGATGCACAACCTGTATCCCGTGGTTTAACACATGTGTCTGATATACCTGAAATATCTGTATGATATTTTTACGATCTAATATTAATCTTCTGAGTAATTTTGTGCAATTTTACTAGTTGGTACCTCTTTCCGCATAATCTTAGGGCATCGAGTTATTTCTTGGTCACTTATGTCATTGTTTCTTGTTTCCAACACCTAAAATAGCTAAGCTAAAGTCTTGCAGGCCTCAACCTACAGGTCTTGTGTTTCAGCTTGTCTTACTCATGTGTACTTAGTTCCTTACTTACTGAGTTCCTCTAAATACTGATCAATCTTATACTTTTATAATCCTACAAATTAACTCTAATTAACATACAATGAATATATGTAACATAACAAATTGATTAATCATAACATCACACAATAAATGACTACTAAGCTAAAATCATTGGCTACAACATGCAGCTCAAAACTGCACCAGCTTCTTTGATGCCATATTGCCTTGCAAATTTAACTACTCCTGGGGGAATTCAGCGCTACTGCACATGCACAGAATTTATGTTCCCTGCAGATTTCTTTGCTTCCTCGCAGAAAAATGACTTTCTGACAGGGAAGCAAAGGGAAGCCACGAGAGTAGTCATGTGACCCTTCCCAGCAGTGTGTTTCAGGTGCCCAGAGCAGCCAGCAGAGAGGTAAGTCACTATGGGGCAGGGGGAAGAACTGGGGAAGACCCAGGTGGTGGATCCTATCCTGCGCTGGGCTCAGAGCTGGGGAGGACGGGACTTCCTCTTCCCATGCATGGCATCCGGGGCTGGGTCAGTCACACCCCCAGATTTCTCCCTTAGCTTCAGGAAGTTCTGCAAACTCCCTTGCCCGCCCCCTTCCTGCATCCATCGCTCCTCAGCTGCAGGGGGAGGGATCCCTGTACAGGGAGCTGCTCCCCCTTCCACCCAACCCCTGTGCATCCAGACCCATTCATACCCAGACCTTCCTGCCGAGCCCCACACACCCCTCACTCAGAACTCCCCCAATAAGCCCCCTGCACCTGGACCACCCCTATAAGCCACCCAGCTCCCCACCCCACCGAGCCCCAACCAGCTGAACTTGGATCCCCACCCCACTGAGCCCCACTCCCCCAGCATCTGGACCCCCCACTGAGCTCCCCACACCCAGACACCCCTCCCCCCCCGAGCCCCAACCATTTTCATCTGGACCCCCCTGCAGAGTCCCTTTACCATTGCACCCAGAACCCCCCAACAATCCCCTGTGCATCTGGATCCCCCCTGCACTTGGATCCCCACACACTAAACCCCTCAACACTTGGATCCTGCCTTGATGAGCCTGCCTGCCCCATATCTGGTACACCTAGTAGGGAGAGGAAGAGCCATGGGGTGTTTCTGGGGCAGGCCTGGTCCTTGTGCTGTGTCAGAGTTGGGTGCAGCCTCACCGCTGAATACGTGTCCTGGTGGGGGAGCTGCACAGTGATCTCCCACCTCTGTGCAGCCAATGGCCTGTGCTCCCCAATGCCATGCTGGAGCCTCCACATTTATTTGACAAATAAAATTTGCAGAATTTTAAAATATTGTGTGCTCAGAATTTATTTATTTTTTGGTGCAGAATTTTTAATTTTTTGGCACAGAATGCCCTCAGGAGTATGTAATGTACTGGGCCATGTGTATAAGTATCTGTCCTCTTCTGGGTGAATTTCAGTCCTGCTTAAGTGGATCTGATCATGTCATCCACTAGTGATTGGCCTACAGAGCTTACAAGCCTAATGCTACTACAACTAATAAGCAGCCTCCTTAATTCCAGTTGTACAGGTATGTGTTTGTCACACATTTGGCCCCAATACAATCCATCTCACAGCTCTAGCAGAACAGAGGGACTGTAGATCTGCCCTAATCAGGCAGCTGGGGAATCTGTCTTGGCATGTCTGGTATAGCTTTCTAAGGAGGGGTGGAACTTATACTGGGAGCCAAACCAGACAAACCAGAGGCTACATCTACACTACAGCGGGGAGTCGATTTAAGATACGCAAATTCAGCTACGTGAATAGCGTAGCTGAATTCGACGTATCGCAGCCGACTTACCCCGCTGTGAGGACGGCGGCAAAATCGACCTCTGCGGCTTCCTGTCGACGGCGCTTACTCCCACCTCCGCTGGTGGAGTAAGAGCGTCAATTCGGGGATCGATTGTCGCGTCCCGACGGGACGCGATAAATCGATCCCCGAGAGGTCGATTTCTACCCGCCGATTCAGGCGGGTAGTGTAGACCTAGCCAGAGAATGGGGGAGTATAAAGATGGCATACAGCCAGCCTTGTCCTCCTTTTTGGTGCTGTGTTGGGTGGACTTTAGCTGGACTAAGGACTGAGGCCTCTGAATTCTGTTCCTACTGATGACCGCCCATTTTGGGCCCAAG